CCCGAGGAATTGACGTCGAGGAGTCGAGTGTAGACCTGAATTGGTCCGACACAGCATTGGTTCAAGTCGTGTGGCGGCGGTAGCCCACCAGAGCACGACAACAAGAGTGCACATTGAGGCGTTCGGTTGGTCGGTGAGATGTAACTAGGCGAGATGACAAAACACACGTGGTAGAAGCCAAGGGCTCGTAATTAAGACCACAAACACCCCACAACCAAGTCCATCATGTTCTAGTTTTTCCTAGGCGTTAAAAAGTGCAATCACTAACGTCAGGTGAATTTAGATGGCAATGTAAACGTTACCGCATCTTGTGCATCAAAGCACGAATTAGACTAAACTGAGGTGCGGTTCTGTAGCTACTCACAAGGGATCCGTAGCAAACCAGCGCAAACCTACTTGACATGGGTGGCTTGGAGGGGAAAGTAGTCGAGTTCGGACAGGCAGACGCATCGCTCGGGAAGTTCACTCAGCGTCGCGGCAGCGTAGATATTAAAGAAACTTGTGCCATCCTCCTATCGAATGGGGTTTGCATGAATGCAATCACCAACCTTGACTAAACCCACACAGACCACATAGTGTTTCGCGTGATCATCATAGAAGGCATCCAGGCACACGATATCTGCAGCTATACAAAGATGCCTGATTGAGAGGACCCCAAATCCCTGGCTTACTTGGTAGGTACACGAAGTCGAAGGATTTACTTGTCATTGTCAACTTTTCACCATCCGAGCTAAATGAGTAATGAGTGCAGCAGCGATTGGACGAGGAACTTTCAACAGCTGAAAGGCACAAGAAATGTTCAAACCCTCGAGAAATAATATTGTAAACGCAGCACAAAAAGGGAAGACTACATGACTCTCGTTTAGTTCACGAGGAAAATCTTTTTACGCAAGCGAAAATAGACACGAGATACCCGGTAGTAACGAAGCTGCCATGAGGTCGTGTTTTCGGCAAGAAGGATCCTCGCCATTTGTGACTGAGCATTGGGACGGTAAGTCGCAGAGGTTGTAGATGGTGCTCTGTCCAAAACTGGGGAAAAAAGCTATTTCTTTGTACAAAGAAAAGTCTAGAAGTTTAGACGGCATCGTCCCAATTCGAACCTCTGGAAACGGAAAAACCGGTAACAAAAATACTTTGCCTGCTAGTCAAAAATATGAGGTCAAAGCGGTGTTAACTAGCACTTTTTATATAGAATGACGACGATCGAAAGCTACGATTATACACAAACGCAAATGCAAACTTAGTGTCTAATCAGTAGAAATTTTTTGGCATCAAAAAGATAGCAGAAATGCTTATAAGGGAACAGGAGAAGTTTAGAATTTTCGTGGGCAACAAAGCCTGTGCACTAAAGTACCCTCAGTACAATTACAACAAGTTTCCCAAAAACAAATACAGGGATCTAAAAATGCATTAGCAGAACGAACCATCATCGCCTATAATTTACGCATTTTGCGTTTAAACACCTTTCATCCGTCAATAACTGCTCATTATCTCAGGACCAAAAAGGACTTACGTGCTTATATCTAGTTTCCACTGCACTGTGAGAGTAATGAGGACGTTTGAGCAATCTTAGAATGAAGCACACGAAAATGAACTTAAATTTGCAGGTTATAATTCTGATAACCCTATAGACTAAATTCGATAACTGGTTTGACAATAAGCAAAACTCAATAAAACATACCTTCGTCCATGAGGCTCTCAATACCAACTGCTTGTATTGTGCGGGATTCTTAGTGCAATAGTTTGTACCCTTGCAATCATGGCAAGTGTGTGCCTTACTCCCCTGTACTACGATTGCCTAAAATTAAACGTTTTCCGCCACCGTATTTTAAAGTCAGCTGTTATTAGCGTCCTCATGCTGCAAACTAACAGTTCCTTTCCTCTCACGCAAGCACATGAATTTATATTTGTCAAATCGTGCAGTAGACTTTCAAGTTGTTAAAAATTTTTTTCAAAATTGTAAGTGATATTCTTATACATTGTTTGCCTTTTTGCCTATATTGAAAAGCGAAATGTTGTAGATAATAGTTGAAGGGAATTTGTAAATTATAGCCCAAGCCTACCCATCTCACCTGTTAATTCACTCTCAAAGCGTGAAATGACCGAGTCCTTAAAGCACCGCATACTTTTAAAGAATCTGAATGTGAATGCTAAAGTTGTAGGTTTTATTTCCTAGTATTACACTTTTTTACCTAAGAGCGAGATTAAACAGTTTTTCAAGCCAGTTCGTATTAAAGATGCCAAGATTTTAAAGCGTGGTACGTTCAATTCCAATCGCCTCGATGCCTCAAGGTGTCGCTGTCGTCTACTTCAAGTCTCAAGAAGACCTAAATACTTCATTGCAAAAGCATGGTGATATCCATGGGTCTACAGTCGCTATTTGTCCGTATGAAAATGATTTGTTCTTTGAGGCACCGAAGTCCGGGAATGATAAACCCACATGGGACTCTGTGCCGGTGGATCAGCTACGCAATGAAATTAAAGAAGCAAGATCTTTTTTCGTGCTTTTATTTCAGCACTTAGACTGGTCGGTTGTTTTTGCGAAACCTGAGCTACGATTGCACTGAAGCTGATCTTCTTGAGCTCTTTTCTCCTTTCGGTAAATTCTTGTACGTAGTTTCAATTTTAAGGAACCGTGAGTGAAGTTCACCTTAGCTATGACCCGATACTTCGGCGAAGCAGGGGCTTCGCGTTCGTCACATTCCTCTTTCCTGCCGACGCTGTCTCCGCTTTTAATAAACTCGACAAACAAAAATTTAAGGTTCGTTCTGTTCACTGACTGTGAATTGTGCATCTCTTTTATTCTGTTCTATGATGTCTTTGCTTTCGTAAAGAACCGCCTGTTGCACATCCTGCCTGGAAAAGAAAATAAATCTCATCCAAAGCATCTCCAAAAAACCACCTTGGAGGAGTCGGCGCCACCTGTGGACGAAGATGGTGATCAAGCCACCATGTCAGAATTTCAAAAAAACAAACTTGCCGAATTAAAGGCGACATCGTCTGTCAGTCATAACTGGAATACCCTTTTCATCAATCCCGACGCCGTCTCTACATACTTGGCTGCCAAGTTTGGTGTTTCTAAAGTAGGTTAGGCCGTTTTCTCTACTGCTTAGTTTATTTGACTTGCGTTAATGTTTGTGTTCGAAGTTCCCTGGTCCCATGAAACACGTCACTTTCGAGAGATATTTAATTGAATCGTTGCGTTTCCTGTGAGGTTCAGTAATCGAACACTTATCCTCTGACAGGAGCAAATCCTCGACTCGACTGGCAAAGAATCGGCTGCTGTGCGCTTGGCTCACGGTGAAGCCCAATTGGTGCACGAAATACGCGAATTCCTCCTCCGTGAAGGTGTTCGACTGGACTTGTTAGAACGTGAGACGCCTTCAAGACGTCGCGACAAGCTGGAGTCTCAGGCGGCCTCCACTCACCGACAACTGTCTGGCACCGCCTTCATTATCAAGAACCTCCCCGTGGCTACTAGCGAACCCGAGGTTCGAGACCTCATCCACCGACTAACGCGCTCCGGCGCACAACAACTCGAGACACCGCGACGCGTAATTCTGCCGCCGCTTGGAATAACGGCTATTGTCGAATACGCGGTGCCGCAGATCGCTAGATTAGCCTACAAAGCACTCTCCTATGAGCCGGTGAGTCTTGGAATCATTTTAAGTTAGTCTCCGTGCAAGCCCTGGGTCCTGTCTAAGACCAGATAGCTCGGTTAGGCCTTAATTTCGGCTGACCAATCACCATTTATTGTTGGACGAGAGGCGGGAGAGAGAGGGAGAGACAGGGAGATGCCATGCAACGGAACAATCAGAGAAAGATGTGCAGTATCGGCGTTTTTCTCTTTCAGTACAAGGATAATGTCCTCTTCTTACAATGGGCTCCGGATGGCATCCTTTCGCCAAAACCCAAGGTCACTGAGAAGGAAACCGGGGAAGGTGACGCTGGCAACGATGATGTTGGTGATGAGGGGGAGGCGGTACAGCCATCAGACACCACTACTGTCGCCACGATGAAACGGAAGAAATCGAAGAAGTGGGTCCAGTTTGTGCACTTTTCGTTGCTAGCAGAAAACTTCAAGTGCCCAAATAATGGTGCTAATGTCTAGTCTTACAAGGGAGGTATCAATCCGCTTTTTATGCCCTTAGCACGAGGCCTCTGTCTCATTCGACACGAATGTCAAATCGCAGTTATTCACACTACTCGAACATCCTGTGATTGGTCTACTTGGAATAGCGCTTTTAACATAACCATGAGACTGCGCAGCAGTTTGTTTCACGATGCAAAGGATTGGTCCCCATGTAAGCAGTGACGAAGAGTATTCGAAGCACCTACATGTGCAGTGGTTAATAATTAGAATTCCTATGGAACTTTGTATTTAAATGATTGTTCTCGCCACTTTTTAATGCATGAGGCCGGGTGGGGACTCGAACACGGGTCGCCGGCAAACCTTGCCTACTGCTCCGCGTTCACTTGCTCCTCACTGACCTGGAAGCCGGCATAACATTTTACTGTCGATTTCCTCGTAAACCGCGGAGAATGCATGTCAGCCTGGTACTTAGGGCAAATCCCACTTCGAAGTACTTTAGATTCATCAATGAAATTAACCCTATTTTTCACTTTCGCGTGGAATGTGCGTAAATGAATTAACTTCTCTGTAATTGAACATTCTCGCGTCTCTGTCTCTTCGGTACTACACCGAACGTCACCAACTACTTTGACGCCGGCTTCAAGGCGTCAGATTGTAGTCGGATCATGTGTTCATTGCCAAGCGTACATTGTGTTTGCGGTAGAATAGCAGTTTGTTTTTCATAATGCACTCAAACCACATGTAGCGAATTGGGTTCGATTCACAATATCCACCACGCCCTGCACTGTTCCCACCTCCTATTCACATCGGCTTGATAAATCGACCCAATTCGTCATTCCTAATCTGTCATCCAACCGCTACTGATTGCAATACTAGTATACATTGCTACCACGCACACTGACCATCCACAGTTACGACTCAATGCGATAAGTTATTGGTATATAAGCTGTGCGTAAAACCATGGCCAATTCGGAGAACTCTCGCCAACCTAGTACTTACAACTGATCCCTCCTCGACATATTTGAGACCCGTTTAAAAAAAATGCGTTACTATTCAATGTCAGTAAAAGTTGTTTCCCAAAGGTCGTCCGCAACCTCATACCGTTCGATTAAAGCAACTGCCTTCGGAGATTGTTTAATCAGTCACCGAAACCACTGCGCCTCAGTAAATATTTCGTGAAATTTCCAATGCTGCCTTTTTTCGGTGATGTCTTCGTGCAAACACTCACTGCTATTGCCCAGAGTTCCGTCTCATTATCTTCCAATGCATTAACGAATTCCTTTGTTTGGTGCAGTTGCCCATGGCAACTGCATCGTTTGCATGCTGTCGATGTGGCCCCCTGTTGAGGGCCCCGGCATGTTGTCTAGAGCCACGCCGGGGCCACTGCGACAATCTAAGGCCGAAGAAGACCGGAGTGGAGAAGGCACAACCGTTTACTAGATAGTTCAACAAAGTTGAACACAGGCGTCTGTGAGGTCACATGGCCAAAGCGGGTGGTGGTGGTGGCGGTACATTCAGAGGGATTAATGAATCAGCGACCTCACGTGACTGACAGGCAGGTCGTGAAGAGAGGGGAAGTGTGTTGGAAGCTGCGATTCACTACACCTCCAATTGCTAACTTGTCACTTGAACCGCAATTGCGAGGTGATCGAGAAGTCAGCTGGCCACCAGTGTTGAGCTGGTGACAATCGTCCCCCTCCGCAGCTCACATCGCATCTTGTTTGTTGCTTTCCAAACTGGGCGGGGTTGAGTGATTCCTTCTTGTGTTTCAGACATCGAGATGGTAGCAGCGAGCAGCCCGAAGAAGCGACCCACAACTTCGCTGACCTCATCTCCACCGAGAACGCGGATGACGCGGAAGCAGACGTGTTCGAGGCTGTCGCTCCCTCAGCTTCGGAGCGCGAAGCTACGTCCAAGTAAGTGGTAGTACTTGTGTTTTCAGGCAAAATTGCTGTCCTTTTATTAGTACACGCGTTTAAGTTTAGTTTTGGAGGGCGCTGTCACAAAAAAAACGTCCCCCTATAATGCCAATTGAAGATATTTCAGTGGGTCCTGCAGTAAATATCGCTGGACAATCTGTAAGTGCATGTTGCTTGTTCTGAGTCATTGCTTTCGTGATATCATCAACGGCCACTTTCAGACAGGCATTTCACTCTTGATCATCACGTTGAACACCGACGATCTTGGATCTGTCAAAGTGAAAGATCAGTCTAACCACCGCGAGGAAGACTTTGCTGTGGGCCCCAGCATGTGGTCGTGAACCGCGCCGGGGCTACTGAATTAAACCTGAGAGGATGTGGACACAACCGTTTACTTCAGACCTCAACCACGTTGGTGTCGTTGTATCGTGGGTGGCATTTTCGAGTATTTATACCTAGGTGTGAGGATAATCCGAGATAAATAGTAGTGCAAACGAGGGGGGAATTGTGGATCCGCGCGGGGCTGGCGACATGCTACGAAAAGAGGAACCCTGTGTCGGAGGCTGGAGTGGTCGGATTAGCGAGTGTGAATCAACGCGAGTCACAACAGCTTCATTCAAAGAGAATGCTGAAGGATCAATCCACTGCGAACTGTCGGACAATCAATTCGGGCGTCTACTGTGGTCAGATTTGTCGGTTGAAAGCGGTCTTGCATCCAAGGCAGCTCTAATTGGTCGAAATCTCTCTTGTAACTGATTGGCTAGGAAATCCTGCCTCATTCTGCTCGCCCACTTTCTGACTAGCTTCCGTTTGGACAGTCTTGGGTTGACACCGAAAAAATGCGATTGAAGAATTTTACAAGCGTGGCACTTACAAATTCACGATGACAGAGTTAATGTTTGCGATTAAATATCCTCTTAGCCATGGCTTTCTTTGCTTTTAATAACGAAATCGACCGAAATGCCAAAATCAGCTGATGGTGCTTTTCAAATTGCCCTACCAAATGGCATTTTAGACGCTCCAAGAAGCGCCAGAGAACAGATCAGGACGAGGAATTTGCGATAGTGAAGAAGCCTGCGAGAAGCGCATCGACGAACTTCAAACAAGACAGTGAAGACAGCGAGTCGGTGGCGGAAAAATCGGTAGGAACGGCAACGGTAACCCCTGCCAAGGCCACGACTGATGTAAAGCGAAATCGTGTCATTTTGGTGCGAAATGTGGCCTTCCAGGCAAGCCGGAGCGAGCTGACCGCGCTTTTCAAGCCCATTGGTGGCCTTGTCAAGGTCAGGATGCCGCAAAAGCCATCGGGTGGACACCGCGGTTTCGCGTTCGTCGAGTTCGCCACGGAAGACCAAGCTGAGGTTTGTTTTCGTGTTACAGAATTTCTACTCTTATTTTGTAAGTAGATATTATGTTTACATTTTTTTTCAGAGTGCCATCAACTCCTTCGGGGTCGACACGCATCTGTTCGGACGTCGATTAAATATTGAATATGCGAAAGCTGTGTGACATTTCCCTTTTATTGCACCTCCGTACTTTGTACAAATGTGTATTTTACACCAATGAGATTGCGCCCCCGTGTCTAAATCCACCTAATGCTACTACAAGTAATTTAATTGACTTTTCGATCTGTTTGTTGGCGAGATGCCACCAGTGCAGAAACGTTTTTTTCGTGCACTAATATTGCTTAGTTATAATCTGATCATATTCTGTGCTTGAAATCACTGAAATTGGATGCAGATTGGTGAATTTTAATGTAGTTATGCGTGCATTTAATATGAAAATACGAGTTGATGTTTCATAATCATGATCGCGAGCGCGCTACTGACCCATTAGTGTTTTGAAATTCCTACAAAAATGGATTATCGCGGAGTTTGGTGGAATCTCCTTTGCATTCCCATTGGTTGAATCGACTTTGAATTTCCATTGGTTATGCGAATTCGTCCAATCACGCATCTTTGCTGAGTTAACGAATTCGATTTAAGTGAACATCGATTGGTATTTGGTTATCTACATACGTCTACGCCTATGTGTTAATTTTGTGTCTTATGGGATTGTGAATCAAAACCTTTACCCCCGTCGACTCCAAACTAACCATGGAAACACTCATTTCTTTCTTCTGGATGCAGCGAATTGGATTTCAGCTAGAAATCGACCAATAAAACGCAACTAGTGAAATATTCGACACATTATCAAGCTTGAGATCGTTACTGACCCTGAAATTTGCTTTTAAACCCACCAATTAATGGATTATTACCTAATTTTAACAGGGGGCGAATCTGCGTGGCTGTTTCAGCATCGATTTGCTGTTTGGGTGGTAAGCACTTTCCGTGTTTGAAATTGTACGCCGCCAGGGGTTAGGTGTTCGCACCAATTTTGGTGACAAAGGCGTGCGCACCTGGGTGAACAGTTGTTCTGCCGTCTAGTGACAATGCTGTTGGTCTTTTACAGGCCCACACCCTGTCCTGTGATGCTGCAGTTTTTATCTACAAAGGCGAGCCCCAACCTGGGGGTTGTGCAGTTAGGCATGAAATCGCGCTACCACGTTTAGTCCTTTTAAAAAACGGGATATTTTTTGCTGGGCTAAACGATGATTAAGTGGTATCACGGCAACTCGTATCTCTATTAGAATGACTTGGTGGTGTTGTCGTGAACCAACAGTGTTGTAACTTTGAATAACTGCGGCGCCATTTTTCCTGTAATTCTGGACGCATGTTTTAGCGCGTTTTGATTGGGTAGCAGTTGTGGCGAGAACGGTTAGCAATCGTGAGCGAACACGATTCAATCGATTTTCGTGAATGCACTTCATGCAACTACGCGCGTGCAGAAATCGATACTTACCAGAGCTATATAAACGCACTCGTTATCCTGTACACACACACTGCTGTTGCATTAATAAATTGGTTGAGCTACGCGCCATCTGCAGTTCTACTCTTCTTTTGGTCGGGCCTTGTCAGTGTAAATCGCCGGCCCTGGTGTGGTTTCCAAAACCGCACTTTGGCCCCCTACACAGTACTTTTCATCTCAGCCAATGAGGTTTAAAAAAAGGAGCGCCAAAGATTCGCCTGTGTAATTTACAACCCAATGCTCTCTCTCTCTCCAATGATGCAGACTATGGAGCAAACTTTGATTGGCTGACAAGGCATGAATTTGCGTTTTGTAACATAAATCTTTGATTTGGTTGTCATCAGTTTTGGGGATGTCGACTGGAACTACGTTGGTCAACTTTGAGCGAAAGATATCTATAAGTGAAATTCTAATCCGAATCTGACATGTGCGTTCAGCTGAAGAGTCGGCGCCATGATTTCAGCTATTCTTGTCAACTTTACGTGATGTCATTCCGGTGAAAAGCGAAATTCGACTGCATCATGGATGCGGTTTCGTCAAACCCAGAACAACGGTCACGCGATGGATACCCTTCAACCCACAGCCTCCTATACTATTATCTACTGATAATTTGCTGTAACGTCCCTTCAAACTGTCTGATTTAAACAATTCCGCTTTGAGAAGAAGTTGAGTAGAGAAGTAGAGAAAAAAATTTAAACTGTGGGCAGCGATGAAGGTAACTTTGCCTACCTTGTTCCGTCATGCCAACCTGATTAACGTTCACTCTCCACCTTCCTGTATTTTCAGTTTCCCGTGGTAAAAACCGCGCTGCATGTCAAAGAACATGAAAGTAGCTCTTAACGGAGAATGTTCCGCTTCTCGCCTTTGTCTACTGACTGGTGGCAAAAAAACTAACACTAACCCGAGCTCCGGATCCATGAAACTGTTTTTAGATCGTTCCATTTCACTTTGAAGAAATGTGCACTAGTTCGAACTGACATTTTTGTGGGAAAAATGTTTTGCAGAGAACGCGCATTTGAGATGTACAAGTGCTCGAATATTTGGCGTCTGCGGATATCTCTATGTGAAACGCCTCCCATCGTCTAACTGCGCGAACGAACTTGGATCAGCCTGTCCTAAGTGCCAACGAACTAAGTAGTTTTAAGATTTCATCATCCACCACCACGGAGGAAACGTGGCATAAGAAGTTGCAAAAGAAGGAATAGTCACGTTGAAAAAGATGGTTTCAAACGACCAACAAGTGCCAAAGAGTTGCGAAACGATTGATGCTGCGAGTAGATCCGTGAGAGGATGCCTTGAAATCGGTATGGATGAATCAGCTACTTAGTGGTCATTATAAGACGCCAGCATTTACCTTCAAGTTGTGTTAGGTTCGTGTGGCAGTTTACAGTTAAAAAAGTACCGTATTCTGTGAGGATGTGAAATATTCCTGAAGTTAACGACATTAAAAGAGTCAAAACCTCATCAACAATGCTACATTCCACGCAAATAACGATGTGAACAGGCTAGATGGTCGCATTTTAAACTAAGAACCTCCACAGGCTACAAGCGACCACCGACGAGACTCACTAGCTGCGACTGCCTCCGACGCCATCTCAAGGATCTGTGTGCATGTCCAAATTTTTGTTCCATGTAAACGCGACACCATTCATGTCCGATTCCATTTTCCAAAAAAGTGAAGCTCTGTCACCCCGAAAACTCCCAGTGGACGCATGTCTCAACGACAACGACGTTGGAAGGATGTTGGAATGACCCTCATGTTCACCTGACTTGCCACCGTGTGATTTGTTTTTGTGGGGTCAAGTGGAGAAATTCGTCTGAACAGCTTTATAAAACCTCCGTAGCCTTTTCTAGTTGTTCTATTCACAATTAAGCCCAGTTACACTAATGCTCACTAAATATTAGCTCTCAAACGAACATCTTGAATGATATCAGATGTTTAGGACACACCCCATACATGTTCTTTTCTTTCTTCTTCATACACGAGTTTTGGCCCACTCTGTAGACCAATCAGGTTTCCCGCAAAACTGCAGACAGTCAGTCACTGATAGGTTGAGTTTCGTTTTAATAGTTCGCATGGTACGCGGTTTGTGTACAGAAGTAAATAAAGCCGTCCGGAAGAGAACGGACGAGCCAACCAGACGAGGTAAAAGTCAATTTTCTTTGTCAGCATGTCTGTCAAAAGGATAGGGAAAGATGAGGAGAGGCGGTGGAGGTGAGTTTGGGAAATGTGCGCGATTGGGAGGCGTGCGCGTTGGCGTCTAAAATTAAGAGGCAAGAGAGCGACAGTAGAAGGCCAGCGTGTCGTTGACAAACTTCTCTGCGGCTCCAGGTTAGTAGATTCCGCAAAATCTCAACAAATACGAGTAAACTTACCACCGGATGGACTGCTGTCAGGCTCGCTCACTGGAGGCCACTGAAGCCAGACGGAGCGAAGCCGTAGATCGCAGACGCAGGGTCGCCACCAACTCGATCGGAGGATTCGACCGAATTTGCAGAGGAGGCCACATCATGTCCACCAGTCCCAGCGGCAACTTTGCTTCCTGCAAGGAAAGATGAGCATGTAGGGTTGGTGGTGGATACTTTCGCAATTTAAGCAACCTTGGCGATGCTGTTAAGCTCATTCAAGGTTGCCAAGCAAGTAATGTCAGCAACTCACCGGGTTGAGGGGGCCAGAATGGCTGGTGGAATTGCTGTTGTGACATGGATCGATTGATGTAGGGGGGTGCCTGGGGGTTCCAACCTCCACCGAAGGTTGCCGCAGCCGTCGCCGGGTAGAAGAGTCCTGTTTGAAGCTGTTGGAAGAAGGCTTGACCACCGCTGGAGGTGACAGCCGGAGCTGAAGTCACCAAGTCGACCATCTGATGATGACCTGTGGCGCCGTAGGCGCTGTAGTCACCGACACCGCTCGATATAAACGGGATCCCGCCACCACTCTGGCTACCCAGGAGGCTGGCAGAGGCGTACTCTGGACTCATTGTGCCTGTCGAAAGTTCAAAATCATTATGATTTTGCCCAATTAAACTTTTGCCACAGTCGTGTTTGTGTAAATTAACACAATCTTAAATCTACCGCGCACTCATCCCATTCGCTTCCTTACTTTGAATGCGCTACTTTGTGGTTTTTAGGAAAATTTAAGCGGACCCCTAGACTAAAGTCAGCATCAGAATGTGGTTTGAATAAGTTTGGGTCAAGAACATTTTACGATAGAGTACTTGACGTACTTGCAGCGAGGCTGTCAGCATCTGATTCGCCCTGAACACTTTGGTACACGACGGAGGAGTCATGCTGCACCGAGTTTTGCTGACGGGAGTTGAGTGTGGAGAAGCAGGCGGGGGGTTGGCCTGTTTTCGGGAAATGGAGCCCGTTGGCGATGTGTACAGGAAACTAAATGGAATTAACCATAGTTTGACACTGTGTCGGAGAGGAGAGCTCATGAAGGTTGCCACAAAATCGTGTTTCTGTATGGGAACTCACTGAAGTGGGCAGTTGTTGTTGTTGCTCGGTACTGATGACAACCGGGAAAGGAGGAAGCGCTTCGCTCCGAGCTGGAAGCTGCGTCTGGACGGCGGCGGTAACGCCGGGTGAGGAGTGCGCCGACTGCGGAACCACCTGCTCGTATTGGTGTGCTGACGAGGAGGAGCATGAGGAGGTGAAGACTCGCATCAGACGAGGCTTTCCACCGCACCGCGACCCAAAGAGGCGAGAGGCAAAGGAAGTGAGGAAGCGCTTCGCCACGGGACGAGACGCAGCGAACGTCGGCACCCCATCGTTACTCCGAGTTCCAGACGTGTACCCTGGGCTGGCGAAGTAGGCGCCATCTTGCAGTCCCTGGTCTAGACAGGAGACAGAAAAGCATTAGCCTAATTGTGCTGGGTGGAGGGGGCGCGTTGTGAGATTTTGTTTATCGTTAGGGCCAGTTGGCGTTAGGCGACACCACATTCAAAAGGTGGGCTTACACCAGAGTAACGTGGATGGATGGTGGCTGCATGACCGATGGCCTAGCAACCAGGAATCGGCAAATCCGTGATCTGCAAACAGTAGATCGAGGAATTATTTAATTCAACACTATGGAATAAAGTGACTGACAAGTACCTGCATTAGGCACCGTGACATAGTTCATGGTGTTGCCGAATGAGTGATGAGTGATGGGATTGCACCCAGTTCCGGCTCCCCCACCGACACCGATCGATAAACCGGGCCATCGAAAGAGCCCCACGTTTCCAACACTGCTGGCGGCTGCTTTGAGCAACTTTTGGTTGGATTGTAGGCCTCGCACGCTATCTTGCAGCTTCTTTCGGCGTTTCTGCATCCACGCGATCGAGAAACACGCAATCCCAACCAAAAGGAGCATGAAGCAACAGAGAAAGACGAGGATGAGGACAAGAACTGTTGGGCCCTGGTATGGCGCTTCGATTGGTCGCGATGCGCCCACGTTAACATCTGCGAGGAGGGGTGAGTAGTCGACGTCGTTTCCCACTCCATGTTGTTCGTCTGGAACTTCGTTCTTATAGAGTTGTTCTAAAAAATAGCGAAAATTTGTCAATACCTTGTTACGAATTTTACACAACTCGGAAGCTATGTTGATTTTTATAGAGGCGCCTAGCTCAGCCTCACCAAATCAGCTAATATTCCATGAGTTGCCGGGTTCTTGTCGAGATAGTGAGCAAAAAAGGCACATCTACTTACCAACTTGTTGACTTTCCACGTCAACGAGATGAATAGAGGCATCATCATTGCCTTTCTGGTTCACTGCTTCTTTATAGAACACTTTTTCATTTCCTGCAACTGAAGAAAGAGAGGGAACGAGTAATAACAGCGGAGCTTAATTGTCGTGACGTCTGTTAGGCGTGATAGGAATGGTTGAAACGACTCACCACTGATGAAACGAACTTCACTGAGGACAATCCACTCGTCAGCGAAGAATAGCTTTAGTTGAACAGACCGTCCGGATTTTTGCTTAAGCGCCACATTCAAAGGGTCAGCTGAGTTGCCTTGAATGTCAACCTGGACGTCGGGCGATGATGGAAACGACTTGCCATCCACGCTAAATGAGGCCTCGATTCGTCGTGGAATGCGAATCTTCAAAGGAGGGGAGAACAATCAGTTATGCTGTACCTCAAATTTAAATACATTGGGGATTTTGCTGGATTTGAACTTGCAATGTAGTCGAGGAGTCACGTAGTCTGACTCCTCCGTGATATAAATCGAAGGAATTAGAAGACGCAAATACGTCGGTTGGTGGAACGGAGAAAAGACAGATGTACTGAGACATAAACTGTAGGATTAACTACGATCGGTACAAATTCTCCTGAGTCATTTCGAGTTGTAATAAATAAGATGCCCTATTGGTGCAGTGCATACCGAAACAACCCAAGTTCTCACACACGCGGATTTGATTGGAAGTTTTGTTGATGCAAGACGGAAGCATAGACATAGTCTTAAAAAAAGAACACTCTCTGTTCAAGCGCACCCTTTTTTCTTCCTCCGTGACAAGAATTCGGTCCGTAAACTTCAAAGGGCATTAAGTGGTGTTTTACGGTTTAGTTAGGTATGCGGTTGCGTGATTGTCACTTCGTGAGTTGCCTACTACGCTTTTACACTTTTCGTGAGAGCTAGACTGGACAATATTGCTCTCAATTTCGGGTTATTAAAACATAAAGGTGGGCAAAAATTGACCATGTTTGTCTTATTTCATCAATTATCGTGTTGGTTCTCACTGGGAGCTGACGACAGTAACAGAAAAAAAGATTTTAAAAACAGGCGTTAGTGGATTGCCCACAAAGGGCACGACCACAGACGTCTCAAACGTCCGCGTTGCGTGCACGAGAGCCTTTTTTATGAAACCAATTTTTTCATGTGTTTTCATTACACGTACGAAGTCAGTAGTGGAATATTATTATTCTTCCTGAGATCCAAAAGAACACATTTCCAACGACGCGAATGGTGGAAGGGATGGCCTATTCTGAAAAGGACGACTACCTGGGGTGTGGAAAAGCTGAATTCAATTTAGTGGGTATCAAACTCTTTCTCAGCATTTGTCCGATTTTCGAAAACATGCCAAGAACATACCTTGCTCAGTGGCAGATCCATAGCGTAGAGGTGGAGAGAGGTGAAATTGCGAAGACCGGAAAATCGGAAGACCATATCGACGACACCCTTGTTGTCGGCTGCCAGCTGCCTCCCGTCCTCCCAGCGACTGCGATTCCATCCCACGAGGCACTCCATCGGTGCCTTCGGCTGTTGCCACGGCAACACTTCAAACGCCTCGGTTGGCATGGCAACCCTAGAGTCCGAGAGGCAACCAAGTCCATCGTGAAGAACGCTGCTGCGTTGATCGTGTTTGCCATCGTAGCACCTATCCCGGAGGTTCAGTTGTCGACTGAAGGGACTGGGCTGAAATTGACTCCCATCTGGGATTTTATATTCGACGAGTTCATCTGAAGCACCAGGAAGTTACTTTCTAAGTTGTTATGGCGTCTCCAGTCTATTATCTCACATAGGCATTGTGAGTAGGGTTTGCACACTCGACCGTAGTCGAAGGTCTGTTAAGACTCGTGATTGGATGATGAACGGACTGTCTGCTTTGTCAAACGAACTGCAAGTTGGTTTGAGCTCAAGAAACAAACTTGTCAGGGACTCACCGGAAAACTTGCACCCGTAAAATTCAAACTTCGCGCACACGAACATTGGACGTCGACTGTAAGGATACACCCGGACCCATCGTGCGACGATTGGAGGGTTCAGCGCGATCAGTTTAAGGTCCAGACTTCCTTCGGAACCAGTAATGAACAGGGTCTTCGAAAAGGTAGGAAAAAACAATTTGAAACAGAGTTGTGGGGAAATGCTAAGTGTTTCCTAAAGTTTCCTGCCTCATCTACCAGTCTGTTCCGGACTTATTCCGATATTTGACCCTTGGACCTATCACAACAAAGGAGCAAACGAAGTCAATCACAGACAAAAACTGCCTCGTTTCTCCCCAAACTAACGTGCATTGAATTCCCATGATTGAGCAATTAACTTAAAGAGAATTTGATCTCTGCACGATTGCCTTCTCACGCTACTGTGTGCATCTAGCCGATGAAACACGAGAAAATCAGGAAAAAGCATTGCGCACGACCACACGATTGCGTCTTGGAGGTCGGGTGCTGTGCATAAGTCCGAGATTTCAGCAAAATAGCTCATTAGATGCGCACACTTTCAGAAGGCGGGGTGATCTCTGTGGATCAACTTTACCTCCACACCAACGCATTACCCTAACGCACAATTCTGAATGCGCTAATCTAATGCGCGATTAGAGGCGTGCCGAGGTCTCCTTCGCCCGGGTGTGAAAAAAGTCAAGGTGGAAGACAAACAGGCCGCTTGTGTGCGGGAGGATAAAAAAGGAGGCCGACTTTTTGTCACTGGTAGTGGGATGAAGTTGGGTGGTGACTTGGCGGAATCACGGAACCGTCTCCGCACTGCCTTTCGCCTCTTCTCTCTGCCCGGAAGGAGAGAAGAAGAAGAAGCAGCAGAAGCAGAACGAAGATTGAGGACCGACGTACGGTCGTACGCGCGCGTCCAATTTTTTTCTGGTCTCTCGTCAGAAAAAAACGGACTCCGCTTACGAGTCATCATTATGCGTGGGCATCAAAGGCGCGATTCGTCAGCCTGCAGCGACGCTTATTGCTTGCGACATGTGCTTGCAAATAAAATTCCAGCCGTGCCGACGCTTGCCCTAGCCCGGATGTCCCCATATAAACGTGATTAAAGACTAGCAAATTATATTTTGTCTCTACAAAAATACACTTAATAATTTTACTTGCATAGACACTCTGGGGTAGTACTTCTCAGATTAAGAAAGTGAGTTAGTTTTGGGTTTGAATAATCCCAATTCCGTCCGACACTAATACAGACTAGTGCAGTTTCTTTCAGTTTCGTCTAACTGCTAGACATACTACTTAAATTCAAGTTAATTTTTTTTGTATGGAAGCCTATTTGCTGATTGTAATCAAAGTAGTCGGAGTTCTCCATTCCTATATCATCAAAGTTGAACCATCTGGATTTAAAATTGACCGTCTGTGCTTGACCTCCGACGACATGCATCTCATTCTGGAAGAACATGATCACCATTTTTTCTTAAAAACGCAATTTCAACCCCGGTAAGGTCAAGTGTAATTTTGACAAACATCGACATCTTTGACCCAACTTACTTCTGCGTTCAATGATAACGCTAAATTAAAACCCAGTTGCATGAAAAACTTGAGGGACTAAAGGATAGGACGTCATTTTCATGAGCGACGTAATTGAAATGCAACGTCAAGCCCCACACAGCGGGATCATTAAAGAAAGAATAACAGAACGGATTTTTGCAGAAAGGCGTTGCGTTTGGCGAAGCCAGCGAAGTCACCATGGCAACGCAAGACATGCTGGTGGCTATCAAATTACAGATTTGCGCTCGTGTGGATTTGTGCGGACTTGTACTGCTTCTTTTCATACCAAATCCAGTTGGTTTTTGCGCCTTTTTTTCAAATGAGTGACGCGAGATCTCGGCAGAACGACAGGCTTTCTCAAAACCACGCACAACGGTACAATTGGCGTGCCAAGCCTATTGGCTGAATCGATTGAATTGAATGTGACGCCGAAAGCAACATAAATGTTTAAACAAACATGAGCGCGGTAGTAGAACCGATCGATAGACGTCTGCAGACAATTCGAGGGCAACTAATTAAATGGCCAATTGTTTAGCAGCAGCAGTCGGACGACATAGCATGTCCCATTGCACCCGCATCGTTAACCAAGAGGTGGGCTACCATTAGCGTCTTGATTTATAGTTACATCTGGTGCCAACTTGTAGCCACAGGCCAAGAACCAACATAAGAGTCAAATTTCCGCATCAAGTCAACTCACCGAATTTTCTGAGCAGGATTTATGGTCGCGCCATGCGCCGCCAGATTCCCTCTTGTAGCGGATGACGAAAAACGGCGTGTACTAGAACAGGTAAGAATTTGGGTGAAATAAGAACGACCTCTAGGAATGCGTCACCGGGGTCTAGATTAGGCTTGGCTTAGATTTACTCTGCAATCTACCTGACCCCCTTAAGCGCTTGAGGCAAATGCAAAAAAAGAACTAGGCTTTTTTGATTCAAAAAAAACCAGCGCACCTCCAATGACTCACGCCTCTGCCGTCTACTGACCAACCGACTATTTTAGCCCTGGCAGCGTTGCCTCAAATTTTGGAAATAGCACGTTCCTTGAGTAATGCAACAACCGGAAATTGTGACCAAGGCGGCCTGATTTAACGATAAATACCTGATTTAATGAAATTAACGTGAAAAAAAACCATCAAAAATGGATTATTTGTTTGGAACAGCTAGAAGCAGTTGACATTGTCAAAGAAACTGTTTGACTCTCCGTTCTGTTGAAACCGTACGCAACCCACAAGTGGAGAGGCTAGGTGTATCCAAGTTACTTTAAGTGTCAAAACGCAGCCCACATGTAGTCTCTCAGAAAACTCGGCAAGGATAATCTGAAGGATAGAGATCTTATTATTCACCAGCTCAATGCCGGAAGTCTACTGTCTTGACTGGTGTCAGTTTAGGCCCCACGAAGAAGGATTTATCAGGGTCCACCAAGCGACTACTGCGAAAGACGCCAACACATGGAGGATTCCAACAAGTTCATCCAAGTGTCCAAATTTTATTCCACTCCACTTCAAACCAATCGG